GGTTTATACCTGCCTGGGCATCAGCTCAAGAAGAAGATGCTGCTGCCAGGGGGTTTATACCTGCGTGGGCATCAGCTCAAGATGTTGTCTCCGGGGGGAGGAGACCACTGGGCGGGAGGCAAGCCGTCCGCCATAGACGGCATGCTGGAGCTGCAAGGTCGACGATGAAGGGACAAAACGCCATGACCAATGAGAAAAACGGAGATAGTCGAGTACACAATCACCAAATCGAATGTTGGAGAGGGAGGAGGGAGCAGAGGGGAGGAGGAGGAAGGAGGGAGCAGGGAGGAGGATGAGGAGGAGGAAGGAGGGACCAGGGAGAAGGAGGCGGAGGAGGAGGAGGAGGAAGAAGGTACACAACCACCAAATCGAAAGAACAAGATGCTGCAGAGGGAGGAGGGAGCATGGGGGAGGAGGAGGAGGAGGAAGGAGGGAGCAGGGAGGATGAGGATGAGGAGGAGGAAGGAGGGAGCAGGGAGGAGGAGGAGGAGGAGGAGGAGGAGGAAGGGTTACAGAGAGAAGAAGATACGAATAGTATCAACCATTCGACGACTGAAGAATCGACTGACTCTACTCAGGGCGTTATATCCATGAGTGCAGAGTGAGACACATACAAGATGAATACGAGTCCAACACATGCCATATGGATACGAGTCATCTTTCTTTTTTTTGTACTTTTTTTTTTTCTTTTTCTTTTCTTCAACTTCTTTTTTGTTTATAATAATACTCCATGCCAGATCCTTGCAGTCTTATAATAGAGCATGCCATATGCAAAGACACTTCAGAGATTGACATTTGGAGTTGGGCAGCCAGGTCAGCCGACGTGGACGACGTTCCGATCGTTCGAAAGAGGGAGAACAATGGAGACAGAGGAAAGAGCAGACGATGCCACGTGTCCCACCGCCCAAACAATAAAAAAAAGAAAGAAAAGAGAAGACGATGCCACGTGTCGCACCACAAGTTTTTGGCACATCATGGCACGCCACGTGTTACCACTTGGCGGGACGCAAGCCCTCTGCCATAGACGGCTTGGCGGGAGGAGAAGCAGGAGAATGAGGAGGAAGGAGGAGGAAGAGACGAAGGAGTAGGAGAAGGAAGAAGACGAAGAGACGAAGAGGAGGATGAAGGTGGAGAAGGAGGCGGAGAAGGAGGAGGGCGAAAGACGAAAGGAGGAGGAGAACGAAGACACGAAGGATGAGGAGGAAGGAGGAGGAGGAGGAAGGAGGGGGACGAAGAGAGAGAAGGAAGAAGAGAAGGGTGGAGGAGGAGGAGGAGGAGGAGGAGGAGGAGGAGGAGGAGGAGGAGAGCCAGTAGGACAATGAGGAGGAACAAGGAGAAGAACGAGGAGGAGGAGGAGGAAGAAGAAAAGGATGAGAGAGGAGAAGAGAAGAACGAGAAGGAAAGAAGAAGATGATGAGGACGAGGAGGAGAAGGAGGAGGAAGAAAAAAGGCGGAGGACGAAGAAGAGGAGGCGAAGGAGGAGGATGCACCGCTATGGCGGGCGCGGACTCAGGAAGCACATGCGGACGCGGTTTAAAAAAAAAAAAAAACMGACAACGACCGCGGAAAACTACCTGCCACGAGGCACGTCGTAATGAGAGGAGATGGACGAGGAGGAGGAAGAAAAAGACGATGACGAAGAAGGAGAGGAGGACGAGGAGGAAGAAGAGGGAAAAGACAAGGAGGAGGATAAAGAAGATAACAAGGAAGGAGAGGAGGTGGAAAAGATATGGGGGAGGAGGAGGAGGAAGAAGACGAGGAGGATGTGGAGGAAGAAGAAGAGAAGAGAGAGGACGAGAAGGAAGAAGAAGAGGAGGAGGAAGAGGAGGAGGAAGAGGAGGAGGAAAGGAGGACGAAGAGGAGGAGGGCGAAGAAGAGAGGAGGAGGAACAAGGAGAGGAGGAGAAGGGGGAGGGGGAGAACGAAGAAGAGAACGAGGAGGAGGAGGAGGAGGAGGAGGAGGAGGACGAGCAGGGAGGAGGAGAAAAAAGAGGAGGAAGAAAAGAAGGAAGCCTTAGGAAGGAGAGGAGGTGGAAAAGAGATGGAGGAGGAGGAGGAGGAAGGAGGAGGAGGAAGAAGACAAGGAGGATGGATTGATTGATTAATTGATTGGCTGATTTATCGATTGGGAGAAAAAGAGAAGAAAAAGGAAAGGGTGCAGGGGGGAAGGGAAGAGTTGTTTTTTCTTAATATAACAAACGGACGCAGGGGGGGTGGAAGGGATAAGTGGGTGGGGGGACATGCGCAGGAAGAGGGGAGGGGAGGGGGGGGAAGTGGGCGACCAGGAGGGAGGGGCGAATGCAGGGGCGGGGGAAGGGGGGCGAGGGCCAAGAGGTGGCAGCGGGGAAGGGTTGCAAGAAGGCCCTCTCGCCCTCCCACCTTTTTTTTCTTTTTCTTTTTTCTGTTTCAATCAATCAATCAATCAGTTTTGAAGCTTTGATTGATTGGATGATTGGTTAATTGACTGGTTGATTGATTTGGAGGAAGAAAAAAGCTAAAAAAAGAAAGGTGCAGGGGGGAAGGGAAGGGGAGGGAAGGGAACGGATCCAGCAATTCGAATGTATCGGGACCCTAATCCGCACCGGGGCGAGGTTCTCTCTCTCTCTCTCTCTCTCTCTCTCTCTCTCTCTCTCTCTCTCTCTCTCTCTCTCTCTCTCTCTCTCTCGCACAGGCGCACGCATGCCGTCCCCTCCCACCCGAGAACGTACTTTTATTGAGATTGAAAAGCAAAATGAAGCGATTAGATCGACCCGTACAAAAGAAGCAAAAAACCGAAATGCAAGGTTGAGCAGGGAGCGAGGAGGAGGACGGAGAGAGGGAGGTGGAGGTGGAGGGAGGTGGAGGTGGAGGGAGGGAGGATGGAAGTGGGCGATCAGGCAGAGGTCGAGCAGAGAAAGGGGAAATAGGAGATCGGTTTAATATAAGCCTTGGGCATTATATTAAAAAAAAAAAAAGAAAAAAAAAAAGAAATAGGAGATCGGGCAGAGTGAGGAAGGAGGGAGGGAGGTTAGGCAAGGGCGGAGGTAGGACAAAGAGAGGCTGGGCGGAAGGAGGGAGGAGGGAGGAAAGCGGGAGGGAGGCGGGAAAAAAGCGCGAGGGAGGAGGTCAGCCGGATGTTGCACGAAGGGAGAAAGGAGTTAGGGAAGAGGGAGGAAGGAGGGAGGAAGGAGGGGGGAAGGAGGGAAGGAGGGGGAGGGCGGAGGGAGGGAGGAAGGGAGGGAGGAAGTCACGAAGAGGTTGAGGAGAGATCGGGGGAAGGTCGGGCATGGAGAGGGAGGAGGTCGGGCGGAGGGAGGGAGAAGGTCCGAAAGAGGGAATTTGGGCGGCCACGACGGCTGGGAGGAGGTCGGTGT